TTTTTGAGCCGCTGGTGACGAGGAATTGGACTGCCGAGTGCCGAGGGGTGAGTCGAGTGGCGGGACGCTGCCGATGGCACGACGCCTAGTCGCCACGAGGCGTCTGCGGACGCGTCGAAGGGGCGCGCTGTGAAACACATCGTCATGGACTGGAAACGCAGGCGTCAGGGACTTGCGCCGGTCTTGGTGCAGAGAGGCACGGTCCTGGAAAGCTTCTTCCGCCCTCATCGCCGACGAGCGCTGTCCCCGCGAAGCGCCAGGTGGGATTCATCGCTGCTCCGAAGGACCATCGCTCGAAACGTCTGCAAAACACGTGACTGGGGGCTTTTCCACTTACAAAGGCAGCGTTCTGCATTGATGGTAGTGGCAGAGACTTTACGACCTGTAAACACAGTAAATGCATTAATACACAATGTTCAGGGTGTACGAAGCAATCTAATAACGTGACCCAAGTCTACCAGCCATGCACCATAATAAGTACGTATCAGACAAATTGGGATCGCACATATATGCAAACATGGGCAGTGGTGTATGGCGGAAGCGCTGTGAACTTGGGAGTCGTGGGACCACGATAACGAACTCCACAGAGTAACCAGCATCGTGTCAATAGAGGGGGCTGTAGCACCGCGGTTATAATGCGGCGCTCTGAAGCCGGTGGCCCGAGTTCGAATCCTGACCACAGCTAACATCAGCGGTGGTATCAGATGCAATTCTGCTCGACGCCTATCACTGCGGCAATCGCCAGCAGTGCCTCGCGTCGCTCCACGTGGTTTGGCCACGGCAGACCGATGAGGTCCGCAAAGCCCCCCGTGAAAATAAAACCACGCACACGCATGTCTATGTGCTGCGAGTTGAACTTCTTTCGCACCGCACGTAGCCAACCGTGCTAATCGGAGGTGTGGGGTGGCCGCTGGAGATTGCGGAGGGGCAGTTCCGCGGCGAGCAATACGCGCAGGAGACAGACGTCGTCAGGAAGCGCCCCTTCGCTCTTGCATCGACGGGGCTCAGGTATCAGGAGGCTGGAGAAAGTGTCACCAGAGCCCAGTCTCCAGGCGCCTGTATCCACCGCGGGCCCCAAGGGACACCCGAAACGCCGGTGTTTCCACGCTGCCAGCTGTGTGGAGTTCAATCGAACCACGTCTGGCTGCACCCACAATCGCCGTCTTCCAAATCGACGAACCATCACTCGCACGCTAGAGGCGTGCGTGTCCTGGTCCTCCTGCCCGTGGCGTATGGCGGGGGGGGGGGGGGGGGTTGTCTTCTTCTTCATGACTGGCAGTGACTCGATAGGTGCACGTTAAGAACGCGGGACGCAACGTTTTGCACCAGATGCCGAGTGCAGGAGAGAAGAATCCACCACCGCTCATCGTCGCCGGCTCCACGACCACGCTTCCTCTGGGCGGGTTGGCAGCAATGTCCGACGGTTCGGTTCAGGATAATTGCGCGTGACTTTATTTGTTGTTGTTGACAAAATCTTGCACTGCGCAGGGCAGGACACCGTGTGGGTACGCAAATAATACGCCCAGATGGCCAGGCGTACTGATCTGTGACCCTGCTGAGCGGGTGTCCAGGATTAGATCGCCACACGAAGATTCACCCGCCGCTCCCCCCCCCCCCACCACTACTCAGCATCTAAGCACCCGGCTCTTAGTTTGTGGAGATCAGATGATCACAGCCCGTGGCTCAGAGCTGCAGCAGCTGCTGCAGCTGCAGCAGAAGCAGCAGTAGCAGCTGCAGCAGCAGCAGCTCGTCCACGGGTTGAAGTAAATCTCGGGGCACGTGTTGGAGCAGGGGAACGGCTCCACCATTCAAATTAATTAGTAAATGTTACCTTCTCATAATTGTAGTCAAGTACAATTATTAACGGGTATTAATCTCAAGAATCCCGAGGGTACAGACACCACTGATGAATCGGTGGTAGTTGAATATTAAAAGCGCGGGTCAGTCAATATGAGAACCACAAAGCTGTCAACCCATGCGGTTTAGCCGTATTCTTGTGCAGGGAAATTGAGTTTTCAGGTCTATGCGGCGTACAGCCGTTTCAATAGGGCGACAACACGTCTCTGTTCGTGTGTTTATCTGTTGTGATGGCTCTTTGTCGGATGAACGTTGAGATTTATAAGGATGCACGGGGTGACCAATTGAATGGATCTGTAACAAGGTGAGGGCACTGATCAGGGGTAGACAGGTTACGGCACCACGGGCACGAGGCGGCTCCCTTTGACTGGGGGTGGTGTCACTGCGAGCATTGAGGCCCCTTGCACCGCAGAGCTGAGAAGGAGAGTCACTGGTTGAATGTGCATTGCCGATGTCAGCGGTTTGTTGCGATTATAAAACCGAGTGTTAACGTCCACGTGAGAGGTTACCACTCATTCTAAACCGTGTTATTTTACAACAACAACAACAAAGCCCTCTCTTGCAGAGGTGAAGAGCCGATTTGGGGTTTTTTTGGGGCCGTAGAGCCCACTGTTGAGTGTCGCCGAGTCACTGCGTGCCGTCAAATAATAATAAAAACAATGAAATGTTGAACGGACTTGGATTTTTTTTTCTGCAGACGTCTCATCAATTTAATTTACAAGGCACGTTACTTGGCGGGATTGCGAGGATGACATTGCAAGAGGGAAGGAAGGCGATGGCCTCGCAATCATCACGCGCCCTGTCCGTGTCAGCTCCACTGCGAGACCCGTGTCTGGGGCCTCCTGCTGGGGGGCTGGAGGGGGGCTAGAGGGGGGCTAGAGGGGGGCTGGAGGGGGGCTAGAGGGGGGCTAGAGGGGGGCTACTGCTGGGGGGCTGGAGGGGGGTTAGAGGGGGGCCTCCTGCTGGGGGGCTGGAGGGAGGCAGAGGGAGGCTGGAGGGGGGCTGGAGGGGGGCTAGAGGGGGGCTAGAGGGGGGCTGCGCGCTCCGTCCACGGGGGGGGGGGGGGGGGGGGTAGAAACTCGACCTGCCCGAAGCCCTCTCGTGGCGATGGACGCAACAAATGACCTATTACTAACTACTACTATTACTACTACTACTAACTATTACTAACTACTATCACTAACTACTACTATTACTACTACTACTAACTATTACTAACTACTATCACTAACTACTACGATTACTACTACTAACTATTACTAACTACTATTATTAACTACTACTATTACTACTACTAACTATTACTAACTACTACTAACACTACTACTATTACTAACTACTATTACTAACCACTACTAATACTATTAACTACTATTACTACTACTAACTATTACTAACTACTATCACTAACTACTACTATTACTACTACTAACTATTACTAACTACTATTACTAACTACTACTATTACTACTACTATTACTACTATTACTAACTACTACTAACACTACTACTAACTATTACTACTATTACTAACCACTACTAATACTATTAACTATTATTACTACTAACTATTACTAACTATTATTACTAACTACTACTAATACTATTAACTACTACTACTAACTATTACTAACTACTACTAACTAGCAGCTCAAGCAAGCGACTTTGTCATCATCCTCATCATCGTCGCGTGGAAATGTTCAGCAGCAGCAGCAGGCAAATCGTCTCTACGCGTGGTGACGCTGATTCTGAATGTGGAGGGGAAAACCCGGAGAGAAATCCACGCGACCAAGGGGAGAGAGACCCGCAAACTCGAAATACTCAGCAGCAGCAGCAGCAGGCACCGTCAGGGTCGAGATGGAACCCACGACCTCCTGCACACCAGGCGAGTTAGTCAACATCTCATAGCCACAGCAGCAGCAGGCATCATCAGGCTCAAGGATGGAACCCACGACCTCCTGCACACCAGGCGAGGTAGTCAACATCTCAGCCACAGCAGCAGGCATCGTCAGGCTCAAGGATGGAACCCACGACCTCCTGCACACCAGGCGAGGTAGTCAACATCTCATCCACAGCAGCAGGCATTGTCAGGCTCAAGGATGGAACCCACGACCTCCTGCACACCAGGCGAGGTAGTCAACATCTCATAGCCACAGCAGCAGGCATCATCAGGCTCAAGGATGGAACCCACGACCTCCTGCACACCAGGCGAGGTAGTCAACATCTCAGCCACAGCAGCAGGCATTGTCAGGCTCAAGGATTGAACCCACGACCTCCTGTACACCAGGCGAGGTAGTCAACATCTCAGCCACAGCAGCAGCAGCTTCGGCGTGTGGCTCCTGTGGAACGCAGTGCTGCGGCTGCGGCTGCTGCTGTGGCTACCCATAGCTCCATTCCCTTGTCATTTGGACATCTGTGAAACTACTGGACGTCTGTGAAAAAGAGCTTCATAGCTCATCGGATTCCTCCAATTTACATGAATATTTTTATTCAACTTGTTACACAACAACCATTACTGGCTGTGAATGCTCGCGGACCCTTGAATACGGATCAGTGCAAATGCTTGCGGACCCTTGAGTGACTGTCTGTGTAAATGGTCGCGGACCCTCGAGTGAGTTTAAATTATAAATTGTCGCGGACCCTCGAGTGAGTTTAAATTATAAATTGTCGCGGACCCTTGAGTGATTTTCGGTACGAATGCTCGCGGACCCTTGAGCGAATGTCTGTGTGAATGCTCGCGGACCCTGTAGTGAGGTTGAAGTCTGAATGCTCGCGGACCCTTGAGTGAGTGTCGGTGTGAATGGTCGCGGACCCTTGAGTGAGTGTCGGTGTAAGTGGTCGCGGACCCTTGAGTGAGTGTCGGTGTAAGTGGTCGCGGACCCTTGAGTGAGTGTCGGTGTAAGTGGTCGCGGACCCTTGAGTGAGTGTCTGTGTGAATGCTCGCGGACCCTGTAGTGAGATTGAAGTCTGAATGCTCGCGGACCCTTGAGTGAGTGTCGGTGTAAGTGGTCGCGGACCCTTGAGTGAGTGTCGGTGTGAATGCTCGCGGACCCTTGAGTGTCGGTGTAAGTGGTCGCGGACCCTTGAGTGAGTGTCGGTGTGAATGGTCGCGGACTCTTGAGTGAGTATCGGTGTAAGTGGTCGCGGACCCTTGAGTGAGTGTCGGTGTGAATGGTCGCGGACCCTTGAGTGAGTGTCGGTGTAAGTGGTCGCGGACCCTTGAGTGAGTGTCGGTGTAAGTGGTCGCGGACCCTTGAGTGAGTGTCGGTGTGAATGCTCGCGGACCTTGGGGCAGGGCGAGGCAGCTACAGCAGCGATGCCGGGCCGCGCGCTGCTTCTGAGGCTCCGGCAGCTGGACGCCTACCCCAAGCCCCTGGACGACTTCAGGGTGAAGACGTTCGGGGGCGCCGCGGGTGAGGAGACCAAGCACGACCACTCACCCGTCTACCCACTCACTCACCCATTCACCCACTCACTCACCCACTCACCCATTCACCCACTCATTCACCCACTCACCCATTCACCCACTCATTCACCCACTCACTCACTCACCCACTCACTCACCCATTCATCCACTCATTCACCCACTCATTCACCCATTCACCCACTCATTCACCCACTCACTCACCCACTCACTCACTCACCCACTCACTCACCCACTCACTCACCCATTCACCCACTCATTCACCCACTCACTCACCCACTCACTCACCCACTCACTCACCCATTCACCCACTCATTCACCCATTCACCCACTCATTCACCCACTCACTCACCCACTCACCGATTCACCCACTCATTCACCCACTCACTCACCCATTCACCCACTCATTCACCCACTGACTCACCCACTCACTCACCCATTCACCCACTCATTCACCCACCCACTCACCCATTCACCCACTCATTCATTCACCCATTCACCCACTCACCCATTCACCCACCCATTCACCCACTCAATCACCCACTCATTCACCCACTCACTCACTCACCCACTCACCCACTCACTCACCTATTCACCCACTCATTCATTCACCCATTCACCCAACCATTCCCCACTCACTCACCCACTCACCTACTCATTCACCCACCCATTCACCCATTCACCCAACCATTCCCCACTCACTCACCCACCTACCCACCCACTCACCCACCTATCCACCCACTCACCCACCTATCCACCCACTCATTCACTCACCTACCCACTTACCCACGAACTCACCCACCCACTCACCCACCCACCCTGTCACCCACCCACCCACTCACCCACCCACCCTGTCACCCACCCACCCAGTCACCCACCCACCCACCCAGTCACCCACCCACCCACCCACTCACCCACCCACCCAGTCACCCACCCACCCAGTCACCCACCCACCCATCCACCCACCCACTCACTCACCCACCCACCCACTCACCCACCCACCCACCCACTCACCCACCCACCCACTCACCCAACCACCCATCCACCCACCCACCAATCCACCCACCCACTCACCCATGAACTCACCCACTCACCCATGAACTCACCCACTCACTCACGAACTCACCCACTCACGAACTCACCCACCCACTCACCCACCCACTCACTCACCCACCCACTCACTCACCCACTCACTCACTTACTCACCCACCCACTCACCCACCCACTCACCCACTCACCCACCCACCCACCCACTCACCCACCCACTCACCCACCCACCCACCCACTCACCCACCCACCCACTCACCCACCCACCCACTCACCCACCCACCCACTCACCCACCCACTCACCCACCCACTCACCCACCCACTCACCCACTCACCCACCCACTCACCCACCCACGAACTCACCCACCCACTCAATCACCCACTCACTCAATCACCCACTCAATCACCCACCCACTCACTCTCTCACCCACCCACCCACTCACCCACCCAATCAATCACCCACCCACCAACTTACCCACCCACCCACACTCACGAACTCACCCACTCACGAACTCACCCACTCACTCACCCACCCACCCACTCACCCACCCACCCACTCACCCACCCACTCACTCCTTCGCCCACTCACCCAACACACCACTCACTCACTCACCCACGCAACCACTCCCCGCTCACCCTGCAGGTGCACGGGCTACAACACTATACAGTCATCATTCACTGCATTACACAACACTGGCACACGACACCACTACACTACACCACTACACTCCGACAACACCACAGTACACCACTACACCACCACACTACACCACTACACTACACCACCACACTACACCACTACACTACACCACTACACCACCACACTACACCACTACACTACCACACTACACTACACCACTACACCACCACACTACACCACCACACTACACCACTACGCCACCACACTACACCACTACACTACACCACCACACTACACTACTACACAACACTACTACACTACTACTACACTACACCACTACACTTCACCACTACACTACTACACCACTACACTACACCACGACACTACACCACTACACTACACCACTACACTACACCACTACACCACCACACTACACCACTACACTACCACACTACACCACTACACCACCACTCTACACCACCACACTACACCACTACGCCACCACACTACACCACTACACTACACCACCACACTACACTACTACACAACACTACTACACTACACCACTACACTACTACTACACCACTACACTTCACCACTACACTACTACACCACTACACTACTACACCACTACACTACACCACGACACTACACCACTACACTACACCACCACATTACACCACTACACTACACCACCACACTACACCACTACACTACACTACTACTACACCACTACACTACACCACTACACTACACCACCACACTACACCACTACACTCCGACAACACCACACTACACCACTATACTACACCACTACACTACACCACCACACTACACCACTACACTCCGACAACACCACACTACACCACTACGCTACACCACTACACTACACCACACCATTACACCACCCCACTACACCACCACACTACACCACTACACCACCACACTACACGACTACACCACTACACCACCACACTACACCACCACACTACACCACTACACTACACCACTACACTACACCACTACCCCACCACACTACACCACTACACTACACCACTACACCACCACACTACACCACTACACTACACCACCACACTACACCACGACACTACACCACCACACTACACCACTACACTACACCACTACACCACCACACTACCCCACTACACTACACCACCACACTACACCACTACACTACACCACTACACTACACCACTACCCCACCACACTACACCACTACACTACACCACTACACCACCACACTACACCACTACACTACACCACTACACCACCACACTACACCACTACACTACACCACCACACTACACCACGACACTACACCACCACACTACACCACTACACTACACCACTACACCACCACACTACACCACTACACTACACCACCACACTACACCACGACACTACACCACCACACTACACCACCACACTACACCACTACACTACACCACTACACTACACCACTACACCACCACACTACACCACTACACCACCACACTACACCACTACACTACACCACCACACTACACCACGACACTACACCACGACACTACACCACTACACTACACCACTACACCACCACACTACACCACTACACTACACCACCACACTACACCACGACACTACACCACCACACTACACCACTACACTACACCACTACACCACCACACTACACCACTACACTACACCACCACACTACACCACTACACTACACCACTACCCCACCACACTACACTACACCACCACACTACACCACTACACTACACCACCACACTACACCACTACACTACACCACCACACTACACCACGACACTACACCACCACACTACACCACTACACTACACCACTACACTACACCACGACACTACCACACTACACTACACCACTACACCACGACACTACACAACTACACTACACCACTACACCACCACACTACACCACTACACTACCACACTACACCACCACACTACACCACTACACTACACCACGACACCGCTGCGTCACTCTGCGCGTTCTCACGTCCACCGATGGTCCTCCTCATCGGTGCCCGTGCCGATCACTTCGATTTCTCACGTGACGCAGCTGCTTTTGCACCGATTTCTGTCCGCTTAATCGCTGCCACCCCTGTTGTGTTTCGAGTTATTGTGGTAACAACCCCTCGGAGTCACGCTCGCAGTGAGACTCCCGTGTCTCTCTCTCTCCGCCTGCTCCCGTGAGTTCAACGAAAGAGCCAGGGATCCTCCCGGCACGTTGCGCGATGTTCCAGAGGCACAGCTGGGCCCTTAAGATCCTGCCGCGTTCTTCCCGGGGCAGCTGGCGAGTGTCTGCGTGGCCCCCATAAGCCTCAAAGTGGCTAGGAGATGTTAACTACCTCGCCTGGTGTGCAGGAGGTCGTGGGTTCAATCCCGACCCTGATGCCTGCTGCTGTTTATTTAGAGTTTATGTGTCTCATCATCACGGTGGCTAGGAGATGTTAACTACCTCGCCTGGTATGCAGGAGGTCGTGAGTTCAATCCCGGCCCTGACTCTTGCTGCTGTATATTTGGAGTTTATGTGTGTCTCTCTCTCATCATCATCATCACGGTAGCTAGGAGATGTTAACTACCTCGCCTGGTGTGCAGGAGGTCGTGGGTTCGATCCAGACCCTGTCTGCTGCTGCTGTATATTTGGAGTTTATGTGTGTCTCTTTCATCATCATCACGGTGGCTAGGAGATGTTAACTACCTCGCCTGGTCTGCAGGAGGTCGTGGGTTCGATCCCGACCCTGACGCCTGTTGCTGTATATTGGGAGTTTGTGTGTCTCTTTATATCATCATCATTACGGTGGCCAGGAGATGTTAACTACCTCGCCTGGTGTGCAGGAGGTCGTGGGTTCGATCCAGACCGTGACTCCTGCTGCTGTATATTTGGAGTTTATGTGTGTCTCTTTCATCATCATCACGGTGGCTAGGAGATGTTAACTACCTCGCCTGGTCTGCAGGAGGTCGTGGGTTCGATCCCGACCCTGACGCCTGTTGCTGTATATTGGGAGTTTGTGTGTCTCTTTATATCATCATCATTACGGTGGCCAGGAGATGTTAACTACCTCGCCTAGTGTACAGGAGGTCGTGGGTTTGATCCAGACCGTGAGTCCTGCTGCTGTATATTTGGAGTTTGTGTCTCTCTCATCATCATCACGGTGGCTAGGAGATGTTAACTACCTCGCCTGGTGTGCACGAGGTCGTGGGTTCGATCCAGACCCTGACTCCTGCTGCTGTATATTGGGAGTTTGTGTGTCTCTCTCTCATCATCATCATCACGGTGGCTAGGAGATGTTAACTACCTCGCCTGGTGTGCACGAGGTCGTGGGTTCGATCCAGACCCTGACTCCTGCTGCTGTATATTTGGAGTTTATGTGTGTCTCGCTCATCATCACGGTGGCTAGGAGATGTTAACTACCTCGTCTGGTGTGCAGGAGGTCGTTGGTTCGATCCAGACCGTGACTCCTGCTGCTCTATATTTGGAGTGTATGTGTCTCTTTCATCATCATCACGGTAGCTAGAAGATGTTAACTACCTCGCCTGGTGTGCAGGAGGTCGTGGGTTCGATCCAGACCCTGACGCCTGCTGCTGTATATTGGGAGTTTGTGTGTCTCTTTATATCATCATCATTACGGTGGCCAGGAGATGTTAACTACCTCGCTTAGTGTACAGGAGGTCGTGGGTTTGATCCAGACCGTGACTCCTGCTGCTGTATATTTGGAGTTTGTGTGTCTCTCTCTCTCATCATCATCACGGTAGCTAGGAGATGTTAACTACCTCGCCTGGTGTACACGAGGTCGTGGGTTCGATCCAGACCCTGACTCCTGCTGCTGTATATTTGGAGTTTATGTGTCTCTTTCATCATCATCACGGTGGCTAGGAGATGTTAACTACCTCGCCTGGTATGCAGGAGGTCGTGGGTTCGATCCCGACCCTGACGCCTGCTGCTGTATATTGGGAGTTTGTGTGTCTCTTTATATCATCATCATTACGGTGGCCAGGAGATGTTAACTACCTCGCCTAGTGTACAGGAGGTCGTGGGTTTGATCCAGACCGTGACTCCTGCTGCTGTATATTTGGAGTTTGTGTCTCTCTCATCATCATCACGGTGGCTAGGAGATGTTAACTACCTCGCCTGGTATGCAGGAGGTCGTGGGTTCGATCCCGACCCTGACACCTGCTGCTGTATATTTGGAGTTTACGTGTGTCTCTCTCATCATCATCACGGTGGCTAGGAGATGTTAACTACCTCGCCTAGTGTGCAGGAGGTCGTGGGTTCGATCCAGACCCTGACTCCTGCTGCTGTATATTTGGAGTTTATGTGTGTCTCTCTCATCATCATCACGGTGGCTAGGAGATGTTAACTACCTCGCCTGGTATGCAGGAGGTCGTGGGTTCAATCCCGACCCTGACGCCTGCTGCTGTATATTTGGAGTTTGTGTGTCTCTCTCTCATCATCATCATCACGGTAGCTAGGAGATGTTAACTACCTCGCCTGGTCTGCAGGAGGTCGTGGGTTCGATCCAGACCCTGACTCCTGCTGCTGTATATTGGGAGTTTGTGTGTCTCTTTATATCATCATCATTACGGTGGCCAGGAGATGTTAACTACCTCGCCTAGTGTACATGAGGTCGTGGGTTTGATCCAGACCGTGACTCCTGCTGCTGTATATTTGGAGTTTGTGTCTCTTTCATCATCATCACGGTGGCTAGGAGATGTTAACTACCTCGCCTAGTGTGCAGGAGGTCGTGGGTTCGATCCCGACCCTGACACCTGCTGCTGTATATTTGGAGTTTACGTGTGTCTCTCTCATCATCATCACGGTGGCTAGGAGATGTTAACTACCTCGCCTGGTATGCAGGAGGTCGTGGGTTCAATCCCGACCCTGACGCCTGCTGCTGTATATTTGGAGTTTATGTGTGTCTCTCTCATCATCATCACGGTGGCTAGGAGATGTTAACTACCTCGCTTGTGTGCAGGAGGTCGTGGGTTCGATCCTGACCCTGATGCCTGCTGCTGTATATTTGGAGTTTGTGTGTCTCTCTCTCATCATCACAGTGGCTAGGAGATGTTAACTACCTCGCTTTGTGTGCAGGAGGTCGTGGGTTCGATCCTGACCCTGATGCCTGCTGCTGTATATTTGGAGTTTTCGTGTCTCTCTCCCCATGGTCGTGTGAATTTTTCTCCGGATCCTCCGGTTTTTCCCTCTGCATTTAGAATCAGCATCACCACGCGTTTTAAAGTGTTTGGCTGCTAGACAATTTGTGCACATGACGACTAATTAGCCACTTTGTTGAGCTATCATTTGTGATGGCCAGGTAAGCTTCTGAAACTAAGGGCTGTTATAGTTCAGTGGGTCTTCCCAGGTCAAATAAAAATAGCTTTGGTCTGTTTTTAGTTTATACTCGAGTTCACAGTTTGTGAAACGCGTGTTTACATCGTACCCACAGAGAGCTCCTCTTATCCGCCGCGGTGACACGGGGGAGCGAGTGAGGGGAGACTCGTATTGCGGAACCTATAAGCCGCCGGGCTGCTCCGTGATCTGCTCTTGTATCCGCGAGTTCAAACTACGTGGGTAACTGTGGCGGATAATCGGACGCATATTTCGCTCGGCCCTTTTTATTTACGCTCAAACTGTAAATGTTGTGGATTCACTCTTCAACACACCGGTGGGCTAAAGTAGTGAACTATTTTGTCTTTTGTCAACGTAACACTTTTTTGCTGATTGGCCGTGTCGGGTGGTGGAGGGTTACGACACATTTATAAATAACGCGATCTAACCCAAAACCTTTATTATGAAGATAATAGGATGCCTTTCTGCACAGAGTAACGGATAACGGCGGATAACTCGCGGATAATACTCAATGAATGGGATGGCGGGTGATATGAGTATTATTCGTGGACCCTACAGATGCCACAAATATTAGGAGTCGCGGGTAATAGTCCCGGTTGTTTACATTCCGCGAAGTATCGCGTGCGTTACTAACAGCACAACTTAGCAATAGGGCCGCGGATAGGAGGGAGTTCACCCGGGACAGGAGTCGGTAGTTCAGGCTGCTCCCGACCCGCTGGGCCGGTCGTTGACGGCCCGTCTCTGACGGCCACTCGCCCACTGAGCCCTCAGCCTCACGGCGCAGCGTGCGAGACGCCGCCGCTGCCGCCATCCGCCGCCGTGCCTGCGGTTTGCATAACGTCTTGATTCCGACGTCCTGGTTTTTTTTTCTCGCAGTCACCATCGTGAGCGGCCTCATCATGTCGGTGCTCTTCCTGTCGGAGCTGCAATACTACCTCACTAAAGAGGTAACCGCCGCGGCGGGGCTGAGTGTCGCGTCGACCCGCAGGTGGCCACGCGAAGTGTCGAACGCCCGCTGCGTTTTAGCCACCCGGGTTTGCAGCTTCCCACACCTCATCGCCGCGCTCCCACAACCCCCCTTTCATTATTTTGTTCAGAAGAAGAGCCACTCCCTGTTCTTTAGCAGTCTCCGGCCCCGAGTAGAGGACTGTCCATCCCTCGTGGTGGCTGGAGCCGGAGCCAGAGCCAGTCTACCGGACCTCCTGAACGCCGCATAGATCTAGGCAGTACCGGTCCAACTTCCGACAGAGGAGTGGCAGCCTCTCCTCCGCAGTGAGCATTCGAACATTCCACGTGGTCACTCGCAGTGGCTTTTCACTGTTTCTGGAGGAACCCCGAGGGTAAGTTTCAGTCTCCTGGGATTTGGAGCCAGGAGACGTCATAGACCCCTGTCCCCCTGGGGCCTCCGGCACAAGCTTAACACACACAAAAAACAAAGACAAACATCCCCCATATAGCCTGTAACATACTTTTTTTGTTAGCGAGCACACACACACACCTAATGAGAGGTAGGAGCTGTGTGCTCCGCGCCAGCTGTGCGCGTCTGGGTCTGTGCCGTGCTCGTACCCCCCGTGCGTGACCCTGTGCGTGCCCCCCATGTGTGTCCCCCGTGTGTGACCCACGTGTGTGCCCCACGTGTGTGTCCCACGTGTGTGACCCCCGTGTGTGACCCACGTGTGTGACCCACGTGTGTGACCCACGTGCGTGACCCACGTGCGTGACCCACGTGCGTGACCCACGTGCGTGACCCACGTGCGTGACCCACGTGCGTGACCCACGTGCGTGACCCACGTGTGTGACCCACGTGCGTGACCCACGTGCGTGACCCACGTGTGTGTCCCACGTGCGTGTCCCCTACGTGTGTGACCCCCGTGTGTGACCCACGTGTGTGACCCACGTGTGTGACCCACGTGCGTGACCCACGTGCGTGACCCACGTGCGTGACCCACGTGCGTGACCCACGTGTGTGACCCACGTGCGTGACCCACGTGCGTGTCCCACGTGCGTGTCCCCTACGTGTGTGACCCCCGTGTGTGACCCACGTGCGTGACCCACGTGCGTGACCCACGTGCGTGACCCACGTGCGTGACCCACGTGCGTGACCCACGTGCGTGACCCACGTGCGTGACCCACGTGCGTGACCCACGTGCGTGACCCACGTGCGTGACCCACGTGCGTGACCCACGTGCGTGACCCACGTGCGTGACCCACGTGCGTGACCCACGTGTGTGACCCACGTGCGTGACCCACGTGCGTGACCCACGTGCGTGACCCACGTGCGTGACCCACGTGCGTGACCCACGTGCGTGACCCACGTGTGTGACCCCCGTGTGTCCCCCACGTGTGTGTCCCACGTGCGTGTCCCCTACGTGTGTGACCCCCGTGTGTGACCCACGTGTGTGTCCCCCGTGCGTGACCCACGTGCGTGTCCCCGTGTGTGTCCCCGTGTGTGTCCCCGTGCGTGCGTTCTCTCGCCCAGGTGCACCCGGAGTTATTTGTGGACACGACGCGTGGAGACAAGCTGAGGATCAACTTGGACGTGGTCTTCCCCCGTATGGCGTGCGCGTGTGAGTGACGGGCGCCGTTTGTCCGCGCGACGGCACGGGTAGAGTCAGAATAATTGTTTATTTTTATTTTTACAAACGTTTTTATCGAAACAAAACGCGAGCCCGAAAAGCTCCGGTTAACGGGGGTCGCAGAATATCCGCGGCCATTAATGTCGGCGCGACGAAATCGCAGGAAAGGGGAAGAGGAAGAAGCGGAATTGAGGTCCCCTTCCCCACCGCTGCTGTCCCGGTCACGTGAAGACCTCGCGTTAGGGGGAAGATGGAGATTTAAATGGGGAGGGAAAACAGGGGAGGGGAGGGGAAGAATCATCAAGCCAGAGATGGGGGGGGGGATGGGCAGGTGGGGGTAGAAGGGAAAAGGAGGGGAGGAGGTGGGGAATGATAATAAGAAATAGTTTCTCTACATTTGGTGTTCGTGCCATTCTGAATAGCACAACGCAACCATGAGAGCGACGGCCGGCAATTGTAGCATCACGAAGCCGCAGAGGTCTGCGTCAAACCTCCTGCTGGTGCAGTGGAAAAACCACTCACACGTCTAGTGTGGGGAGTCTGTGTAACGTGTGTTTGTCGGCTGTGTGTGCGGGACGTGTGTTTGTCGGCTGTGTGTGTGAGACGTGTGTCTGTCGGCTGTGTGTGTGAGACGTGGGTCTGTCGGCTGTGTGTGTGGGACGTGTGTTTGTCGGCTGTGTGTGTGAGACGTGTGTTTGTCGGCTGTGTGTGTGGGACGTGTGTTTGTCGGCTGTGTGTGTGGGACGTGTGTTTGTCGGCTGTGTGTGTGAGACGTGGGTCTGTCGGCTGTGTGTGTGGGACGTGGGTCTGTCGGCTGTGTGTGTGGGACGTGTGTTTGTCGGCTGTGTGTGTGAGACGTGGGTCTGTCGGCTGTGTGTGTGGGACGTGGGTCTGTCGGCTGTGTGTGTGAGACGTGTGTCTGTCGGCTGTGTGTGTGAGACGTGTGTTTGTCGGCTGTGTGTGGGACGTGGGTCTGTCGGCTGTGTGTGCGGGACGTGTGTCTGTCGGCTGTGTGTGTGAGACGTGTGTCTGTCGGCTGTGTGTGTGAGACGTGTGTCTGTCAGCTGTGTGTGTGACGTGTGTCTGTCGGCTGTGTGTGTGGGACGTGTGTCTGTCGGCTGTGTGTGTCGGCTGTGTGTGAGACGTGTGTCTGTCGGCTGTGTGTGTGAGACGTGTGTCTGTCGGCTGTGTGTGTGAGACGTGTGTCTGTCGGCTGTGTGTGTGAGACGTGTGTCTGTCGGCTGTGTGTGTGAGACGTGTGTCTGTCGGCTGTGTGTGTGAGACGTGTGTCTGTCGGCTGTGTGTGTGGGACGTGTGTCTGTCGGCTGTGTGTGTGGGACGTGTGTCTGTCGGCTGTGTGTGCGGGACGTGTGTCTGTCGGCTGTGTGTGTGAGACGTGTGTCTGTCGGCTGTGTCTGTGGGACGTGTGTCTATCGGCTGTGTGTGTGGGACGTGTGTCTGTCGGCTGTGTGTGTCTGTCGGCTGTGTGTGTGAGACGTGTGTCTGTCGGCTGTGTGTGTGGGACATGTGTCTGTCGGCTGTGTGTGTGGGACGTGTCTGTCGGCTGTGTGAGTGAGACGTGTGTCTGTCGGCTGTGTGTGTGGGACGTGTGTCTGTCGGCTGTGTGTGTGGGACGTGTGTCTGTCGGCTGTGTCTGTGGAACGTGTGTCTGTCGGCTGTGTGTGTCTGTCGGCTGTGTGTGCGGGACGTGTGTCTGTCGACTGTGTGTGTGGGACGTGTGTCTGTCGGCTGTGTGTGCGGGACGTGTGTCTGTCGGCTGTGTGTGTGAGACGTGTGTCTGTCGGCTGTGTGTGTGAGACGTGTGTCTGTCGGCTGTGTGTGTGGGACGTGTGTTTGTCGGCTGTGTGTGTGGGACGTGTGTCTGTCGGCTGTGTGTGTGAGACGTGTGTCTGTCGGCTGTGTGTGCGGGACGTGTGTCTGTCGGCTGTGTGTGTGAGACGTGTGTCTGTCGGCTGTGTGTGTGAGACGTGTGTCTGTCGGCTGTGTGTGTGAGACGTGTGTCTGTCGGCTGTGTGTGTGAGACGTGTGTCTGTCGGCTGTGTGTGTGAGACGTGTGTTTGTCGGCTGTGTGTGTGGGACGTGTGTTTGTCGGCTGTGTGTGTGGGACGTGTGTTTGTCGGCTGTGTGTGTGAGACGTGGGTCTGTCGGCTGTGTGTGTGGGACGTGGGTCTGTCGGCTGTGTGTGTGGGACGTGTGTTTGTCGGCTGTGTGTGTGAGACGTGGGTCTGTCGGCTGTGTGTGTGGGACGTGGGTCTGTCGGCTGTGTGTGTGAGACGTGTGTCTGTCGGCTGTGTGTGTGAGACGTGTGTTTGTCGGCTGTGTGTGGGACGTGGGTCTGTCGGCTGTGTGTGCGGGACGTGTGTCTGTCGGCTGTGTGTGTGAGACGTGTGTCTGTCGGCTGTGTGTGTGAGACGTGTGTCTGTCAGCTGTGTGTGTGACGTGTGTCTGTCGGCTGTGTGTGTGGGACGTGTGTCTGTCGGCTGTGTGTGTCGGCTGTGTGTGAGACGTGTGTCTGTCGGCTGTGTGTGTGAGACGTGTGTCTGTCGGCTGTGTGTGTGAGACGTGTGTCTGTCGGCTGTGTGTGTGAGGACGTGTGTCTGTCGGCTGTGTGTGTGAGACGTGTGTCTGTCGGCTGTGTGTGTGGGACGTGTGTCTGTCGGCTGTGTGTGTGGGACGTGTGTCTGTCGGCTATGTGTGCGGGACGTGTGTCTGTCGGCTGTGTGTGTGAGACGTGTGTCTGTCGGCTGTGTCTGTGGGACGTGTGTCTATCGGCTGTGTGTGTGGGACGTGTGTCTGTCGGCTGTGTGTGTCTGTCGGCTGTGTGTGTGAGACGTGTGTCTGTCGGCTGTGTGTGTGGGACATGTGTCTGTCGGCTGTGTGTGTGGGACGTGTCTGTCGGCTGTGTGAGTGAGACGTGTGTCTGTCGGCTGTGTGTGTGGGACGTGTGTCTGTCGGCTGTGTCTGTGGGACGTGTGTCTGTCGGCTGTGTCTGTGGAACGTGTGTCTGTCGGCTGTGTGTGTCTGTCGGCTGTGTGTGCGGGACGTGTGTCTGTCGACTGTGTGTGTGGGACGTGTGTCTGTCGGCTGTGTGTGCGGGACGTGTGTCTGTCGGCTGTGTGTGTGAGACGTGTGTCTGTCGGCTGTGTGTGTGAGACGTGTGTCTGTCGGCTGTGTGTGTGGGACGTGTGTTTGTCGGCTGTGTGTGTGGGACGTGTGTCTGTCGGCTGTGTGTGTGAGACGTGTGTCTGTCGGCTGTGTGTGCGGGACGTGTGTCTGTCGGCTGTGTGTGTGAGACGTGTGTCTGTCGGCTGTGTGTGTGAGACGTGTGTCTGTCGGCTGTGTGTGTGAGACGTGTGTCTGTCGGCTGTGTGTGTGAGACGTGTGTCTGTCGGCTGTGTGTGTGGGACGTGTGTCTGTCGGATGTGTGTGTGGGACGTGTGTCTGTCGGCTGTGTGTGCGGGACGTGTGTCTGTCGGCTGTGTGTGTGAGACGTGTGTCTGTCGGCTGTGTCTGTGGGACGTGTGTCTATCGGCTGTGTGTGTGGGACGTGTGTCTGTCGGCTGTGTGTGTCTGTCGGCTGTGTGTGTGAGACGTGTGTCTGTCGGCTGTGTGTGTGGGACATGTGTCTGTCGGCTGTGTGTGTGGGACGTGTCTGTCGGCTGTGTGAGTGAGACGTGTGTCTGTCGGCTGTGTGTGTGGGACGTGTGTCTGTCGGCTGTGTCTGTGGGACGTGTGTCTGTCGGCTGTGTCTGTGGGACGTGTGTCTGTCGGCTGTGTGTGTCTGTCGGCTGTGTGTGTGAGATGTGTGTCTGTCGGCTGTGTCTGTGGGACGTGTGTCTGTCGGCTGTGTGTAAGACGTGTGTCTGTCGGCTGTGTCTGTGGGACGTGTGTCTGTCGGCTGTGTGTGTCTGTCGGCTGTGTGTGAGACGTGTGTCTGTCGGCTGTGTCTGTGGGACGTGTGTCTGTCGGCTGTGTGTGCCGGACGTGTGTCAGCTGTGTAAACACCGATAGCTGCTGTTTTCTCAGCTCAATGATCCCCTCTGCACACACGAGTGCGGTTAATAACCCTGAATAACCCGTTCGTGTATTAGAGGACACGATACAGTACGATGCATAAAAAAATAAATAAGCCTGTATTTTTTATCTCTACATGAAAGTGCAATTTTAATGCATCGGCCAATTGGTCTTGTCAACATACGTGCACCAGCAATATTTGTTTAAGCACACAAACCTTGTACTGGTGTTGAGCTTGGTTTAATCAGCGGGCATACTGAACCATTGCTGCTGGCTTCCCAGATGTTATCGATCGGTAAGAGCGCTCCCTCTAAACTAGGGGTGCACGCAATCCTAGAGCCCTGCCCGGTAAAATTAGTCGCCCAGTTTGTTCCACCCGGATGCTCTTCTCAACTATTAAACTAAACATTATTTTTTTTGACCAGCTAAGGCCCACTGAGGTGTACGGCTCTTTTTCAAAAGCCACCTGGCCATTAATGATCGCTCAACGAAGCGGCTTATCGGGTGCAAATTTTACAGCGGCCGAATACTCTAAACATACATCGATTTTAAATGTGCAGGGAAAACCGGAGGACCCGGAGGAATAATCCACGCGACCACGTGGAGAGAGACACGTACACTCGAAATATACAACAGGCATTGGGGTCGGGATCGAACCCGCGACCTGCAAAGCAGGCAGAGGTAGTTAACATTTCGCCACTGTGGCGCTTAGTGCGGCCAGAATCCAGCGATGGGTGAATGTAGTAAATTTAACCAGCTGCGGGCTTTCGCGACCAATGTTACGATTCGATTTTTGGGTCAGATGGCCTGAGCAGAATGTGCGTCGATGATGTGGCACCCTTGCGGGGGCGCTCGTTGATGATGTCACGCCACCTATTTAAGGCCCAAGACCAGAGGAGATTCTCACAATCCTGGCCACGTACCTCGTGACGCCGGCCGAAACTCCTGGCGAAACGTCCACGCCCGGTTGGGAAACGCCGGGCGCGGGATCGCTCTCCCGCAGCGCTCGCGGTCATAGATCGGCACATTCGTTCGTGATGCCACAACTTTGCCAGTTTGGCTATGTCGGGTGGTGGAGGCTCTACGGCACGCCGTGTGACGTGCTGCGACTGAGCACCCTGGGAGGGGAGAGTGAACTCTCCTGCCGGGTCCGCGAGCGGTCCCTCGTCACGAAGGTGACCGACGTGCATTTTGCGTTGACCCGCGGCCCTCCCGTCTTGTAGGCGGTTACCTTTGTCGGTAGCATCTGGCAGTTTGGCGGGCGGGTTTCTCTCTCTAACAAACCTGATGGTGGTTATAGTCGTTGCCGAGATCGAACACGTGTGGCTGGATGACGTCGGTCCGGAAAATCAAGAGGCCGTTGAACTTAAGAACATAATATATATTTAATTTTCATGCGGAAAAAGACGAACGGAAGTCCGCTTATCAACTTCATCGCCCATAATGCTCCGCGATAACTCAGTGCGTGGGGGGCGGGGGGGGGGGATTGGTTTCATTTATTTGTCCCATCAACTCGGGCTTCTTGGCTCGAGCGCAGTGTGTTGTCTGCGGTAACGTCCGGAGCGAGGCATGCGCGTGCACGCTAAGCCGGTTAAGGGTGTGTGTGCACTAGCAAGCCATGCGCAGCATCGTAAGCGATCCTTAACCCTTTTCCCGTTCCGAGACGTCAACAAGTTGCAGGGTGCGGTGTCCCGTTCACCGCTGCATCTCGGAACGCTCAAGCAGTTCAGCGTTAATTCTATTTAAAGCGGCGTTACGGCGCTGATTTTAACGTCACTGGACTCCCCGTAACGATACGACCACCGCACTCTACGATAGTTGGCGCCGAACTGTGCCGCACGCCCCTCTTCCGCACGGCCTTTTACTTCCGATTCTGTTCTGAATCGATTCTGTTCTGATGACGTACGCGTACGATGACGTAGACACACGTCATGGGAACGGGAAAGGGTTAATAAATTAGCATTGAAAGTCTTAGAGTGGAGACGTCGTGAGCTTGAGCGGACGTGGGGTTTTTGTGTCGGTGTCTCGCCGCGCGTCGTGCAGTCCTGAGCCTGGACGCGATGGACGTCTCCGGGGAGACGCAGATCGACGTGGAGCACACGCTCTTCAAGAAGCGCCTCGACGCCCGCGGGCAGCCCGTGGCGGCCGAGGAGGAGAAGCACGGTACGGGCACGTGCGGCAGCGTCGGAACCGGTGGCTCGTGCACACGGCCTCTGTGGACGGGAGGCGGTGGCTCGTGCGCATGGCTTCTGCTGTCCTTACGCCCTGCATCCTGCACAGGCACAAGCACTCAACCAAGTGCCGTTGAGGAGCATTTGCCTTGTTTGGGCAACAGAGTCCGGGGAATGTTCGTCAATGTTAAGTGTGCGTGGAGTGTCTCCGTAGTGAACAACTCGGCGCTCAACAAGTCTTGAGTGCCTCGGGTTCAATTCTCAGTCTTGCTCACCAGCGCCATTTCGTATCTAAGCATGGGCAGCGGCAACCCCCTCGGTTTGCTCCGTTTGAAACGAGCCGGCGTTGCGGTGTGGACCGCATCGGCGTTAGGGACGCGATGGCGACTCTAATGCGGCCTCGTGCTTTGCTGGCCATCGTGGGAGGCGCTTGCTGATGAAGTCATCCATCTCTCCGATTGGTTTGATCACGCGACTCATCGCACAACACGCACCTTCAATTAGCACGGTTGGTCACGTTACGGTGCACAGGAAGTTCAAGTACGCACGTGCATGGGAACGGTTGGAAACGAAAAAGCCTCGCCTCTATTCCCATGCGTGTACAGCTGGTCGGGCGGTCGTGGGCAGAGCTCCGTGACGTCATTGGCATTGTGGGCCGCTTCACGTTGGGCGTGGCTTGTGGCGGATTCCTGCCTTCGGGAGGCAGGATGTCGGGTCGGCCCCCCGTATTTGAAAGGGGCTTGAGTAATCGGTCAGACGGAGTCGATTGCAATGCTTTAGTTAATTGATCGGCTCAATCGGCTGTTCTCCCCGGCCCTATCCGCTGTTGGCGGTGTTCATGACAGCCCGTTGCGCAATGAGGGAGGTGTCGACTTCGGTCTCACGTTTGTGGGGGATAACACCGTCGAAAGTAAGTGCATCAAACGCTCGCCCGTCGCGGGCGTTACGTGTGTGGTTCACGGTTCGTAATTCGACACCCATCCCTCCTTTTGTTTTATATTATCCCACACCAAAATGTCGCGTACAATACTGTACATGTATCTGTGTAATGTACTGCAGTCTGGCGGCTGAACCTCAATGTCTCCTCGCTAGAGGCTGGGAACGCCACGTGACCTAGGGCCTGTGATGGGCCGCTTGGGAGACGAGTTGTAAACAAGATGGCGCGTGTGTTCCCTATTATTTGCCTATTTATTTAAGGTAATTCATTAAACAGATAGATTTTCGTAGGCCAGTATCGCTATCCACGAATCTTCGGAGAAACGTGTCCCTCGCGAGTGATGCGAGGGAATCCCGTACGTGACGACGCGCGACGCGGTGCTCAGCTGCGACTGTGCTGCGCGTGCGACTGTAAGTGCAGAAATCGGTAAGCTGGAGGAGATTCCAGACCCCACGGCGCTCGACCCCAACCGATGCGAGAGCTGCTACGGCGCCAACGCCACCGACCTGCAGTGAGAGACACCCCTCCCTCCCTCCTTACTCCTCCCTCCATCCCTCCTCCCTCCTCTCTCCCTCCCTCCCTACCTCCTCCCTCCTTCCCTCCCTCCCTCCTTACTCCTCCTTCCCTCCCTCCCTCCCTCCTTCCTCCTCGTCCCTCCTCCACGTTCTGTCCGTCGTCGTCCGGACGCTGCTTCGTGCTCTGGCCAGCGAACGGCACGTGTGCGGCGGCGCGTATGACGAAACCAAGCACAGGCATTTGTCAGTATAGATGATATCAAAGTGTGTAGCCCCAGTGGCTTCCTCACATCGGAAGGTGGAAGAGCGTTGCAGAAGGCCGCGGAAGCGCAGCCGAACGCGCTCGATCCGGTGACCGCCTTCCTTCGATGGCAACGCGGCATTGGAGCCCATCGCACCCTAAAGATGATTCGAGTTCATCTCGAAATGTGTTTCCCTGAGAGAATACGCTGCCCCCCACACATTTTGCTTTTGAAAAACAAATTCCCATTTTGACTCGGGGCCGTTCTTGGAGCTCGCCGCCTCCGCCGTCACCGCCGCTACCACAACCACAGGCTGCCTGGCACTGACGAGCGGTCTCCGTGCTCGCGTCGCCCCCAGGTGCTGCAACACATGCGACGACGTGCGCGAGGCCTACCGGCGGAAGGGCTGGGCCTTCAAGAACCCCGAGGTGATCGAGCAGTGCCGGCGCGAGGGATTCTCCAACAAGGTCCGCGAGCAGAAGGATGAGGGCTGCCGCGTCTACGGGCACCTGGAGGTGAACAAGGTGAGCGCCATCCCCCGACCCCACGCGGGCCGCGCCGATCGGATAGCTTTGTAGCTCGTGGTCAACACGTGTTGCATCGTTGGGGAGAGTGTTCGAATGCTAAGTCTGGTGAGAACCCAAGAGACCAGCCCTGGACTGTATTTGTTTAAGGTTTCTGTAACTCAATTGCAATTGCGCTGTGATCGGTCTAAAAATTAATCGGCCCCAGCCGTCTCGCGCTCCAGGGAATTTATCGTTAAGCACCGATTCGTGTTCGCGCAGTGTTCTCGACGCAGGTGATTACACCCCGATTTCTATTTGTATTTATGTACGTGTGTTGGAAAACCGGAGGAAGCCATTCCCACACAATGAGCATGCTGCTCCATGCCCGAATCTCTATACACGTGTGTGTATTGGACTGCTTTCGCACCGTACGTAGCCAGCCGTGCTAATCGGAGGTGCCGCATCGCCGGCACTTTATTTGTTTGTCCTCAGGTGGCAGGCAACTTCCACTTTGCTCCTGGGAAGAGCTTTCAGCAGGCTCACATTCACGGTAAGGCCGCCGCGTCGCACTAACCGGTGCACGGTGGCGCCGAGCGTGCCGTCGCCCGGGAAGCGTCGCGTTGTGCGGGTGGCGAGCGGCGACCGCTCTCTCCCCGCGGGTGGCGAGCGGCGGCCACTCTCTCCCCGCGGGTGGCGAGCGGCGGCCGCTCTCTCCCCAGGGCTCGTTGTCGGTGGAGCCCTTCGCCTCGGAGTTATTTTTTTCCCCGCTCGTCTTCATGCTCGTTCGTTTGTGGACAGTTTGTGAGACCGGATCCGCGAGCGGCCATGTTTGTTTAGTTCCACTGTTCTCCGCGCCCAAACGATGAGAAAACCCAACGCGACGGAGAAGCGAGTGCGCAGGCCGGACGAAGCAGCAGATTCGACAACACGCAGAGACACACATTGGTTCTCGCGCCGAAGGGCTTTGCACGTGCGGTGAGCGTTGTCTGCTCTGCTTCACCCGGCCGTGCGGGCCCCAAATACACCTCCGATCAGCACGGTTGGCTACGTGCGAAATAAGTTCAACATACGTACGTACAAAAAACCCTTCTCAAGGGTAAATAAACAAAGAACAGACAATACGCCTCCTTCATCTAGTCGTCCCTCCACATCTAATTTTGAACACATCTCATCAGCATTACGGCTTTCTGGAGTGCCATTTATTTTTCATCAGCATTGGTTGAACAAGTTGGAAACTGGATCGGTTTTGACATTCCCTGTCTCATCATCCGTGGGTCAGGCTCCGCTTCAACCAATGCAGGTTAATTTTTAGATGTCTAGGCACGGATCCTGTCCGTTAGATATGGGTCTTGTAGTGCGACGAAAAACACAGAGCCAGAGCGAGCTGGTTTAATGCCACCGCTCCTTACCCCGGTTTTCAGTTTTCGTGTGCAGCACGCAAGGTTCCACACGAGAGGGCAGCAGAGGCCTTACTCTTAACCAAGCAACCGCTTCCTTCAGAGGTATTCGGTGCATGCAACGCATTCGCGGCGCAGTGACCCAAGGGCAGAAATGCGTGATTGCTTTAACTGCCGAGACGACATCTTCAATGAGACGCAGGCACGCGGCAAGTCACAACAAACGGCCATCGCTGTCTCGCAAAGCCTCGCATTGAGACAGTCAAGCCGGTTTGGAAACGAGTGTGAGAATAAAAGATCGTTGCTCTGTGTGGGACCTAACACCAAAACGATGCGCCACGTAACTTGGCGCCGCCCCAAATGTTGAAGGCGATGAGTGGGCGCAATTCACCAACTCGGACAAAGCTAAATAACGGCCGAATCGTTGGCACTGAATCGTACGTATGTATGTATGCGCGCATGTATGTTGAACGTCCTGTGCACCGTACGTAGCCAACCGTGTTAATCGGAAGTGCGGGGGGAAGGACAACAAACGAAAACACAAAGCAGTTCCAAAGAAATTAGTTTTAAATCTAGACGATCAAAAGTGCATAGCTCCAGTGGCTTCCTAATATCGGAAGGAAGAGCTTTCCAGACGACCGCAGATGCGTATCTGGAAGCGCCGCGCGATGCGGTGACCGCAGTCTTTGTTTGTTGGCCGGCCAAAAGCCGCTGCTGCTGCTGCGAGGATGACCTGAGTTCGCATGATGTAGGGATAGTGTTTTGTGACGTCGTGTAAATCATGACAATTGACGGAATCGAGGAAAGGGTGGCGATTTTTTTCTGCCGCTCCGTTTAGTTTGGTGTTGCTGTCTCGCGGCCACCCGAACCTTGGCCGATCCACGCCGGTTCGAGCGGCTTCCACTCTCATTCCACCCCCGCTGAGCTCGTGCCAACGCTCGCAACCGATCACTGAATTTGTTTGTAATACCGCATGCGTGGAAAGGACTAAAGTTGTCATCCAAGAAAAACTGAAATGATAATTAAAAGGAACGGCATGTCAACCTCAGAGTGATGCGTGCTCGGAATTGCGCTGAGAGACGGACGGGGGAACGTGTGAATTAGAGAAGACGAGCAAGGTTACTGACGTCCAAACTGCGAAGAGAATTAAGTGGGCTTGGGCAGGACACGTCGCCAGAAGGGATGATGGTGCGATGGTCAGGAATAATAATAATAATAACAAGAGTGGCAGCCAAGGAATGGAATGCATCTGAGAGGAGATGAAGCGATCCGTTGAGTCCATGTGCATGTCATGGACAGATTGCTGCATTGCAGGGATCGTGAGAGGCGGCAGTGGCGGTGCCGTCGGGAGGTGGCCTACCACCAGGCGTGGATTGATCGTGGCTGATGATGATGATGATGCTGAAGAATGGTGTATGTACGTTGAACTTATTTTGCACCGTACGTAGCCAACCGTGGTTAATCAGAATTTTGGGGGGCGAAAGGACAACAGACTAAACACAAAAAGCCGTTCCAATGAAAAATTGAGTTTTCAGTCTAGATTTAAAACTGCATAGCTCCGGTGGCTTCCTAACACGATGTTAACTCGCTCACAATGAAAACGTCGATGCGCCGACGTGAACAAACAAAAAAATTCATGGATGCGGGACAAAAGCGACCCTCGCTGGAAAGTGAAACCGTCCGAGACGCTGGAGCGACGATTTTTCCGTTGCACGCCCCGACGGCACGGCTTTGAAGCGAGCTCCGGTTTCTCTGCCCGATGCGAGAACCGCGATCGCATGCGGGGGGGGGGGGGGGGGGGCGGGGGGGGGCAGGGGGGGGCGCCCACACGCACGACGTCGCTGACGAGCAGCGCTTTGATTTTTGTGGAGAAGAAAGCGGTGGAAGGATCGTGGACGTGACCTCTCCTCGGGGAGTCTGAGTAGAGGTCTCTCTCCCTCTCTCCGTCACTCTCTCCCTCTCTCTCGCTCGGCTTCACGGCCAGGGGTCAGGGTCGCTTGCTGCGTTGGGATCTGTGCCCGCCCCCCCCCATCCCTTCGCCCGTTTCCAAGTGCGTTTGTTTTTAACACTGATGCCCCTTAGCGGTTGTACGACAAAAACACAGACAATGTTAATGTTTGCACATTTTTGCTGGACCCCCAGCTCTGATCTCAAGTTTTGAGTTTTATTTTGTTTAACCAGGTAAGAACGTAATAGACCCAGGATAGTCTGATTTGCAAGAGTGACCCGGGGCATTAGTTTACCAGTAGGGGCGGGGGGGGGGGGGGCGATGATTGCTTTGCATAATCCCAATTGAGTAATTTGAAGGCCGGGAATCAAACTCGGGCTCCCATGGTCATAGTGTAGTGCCCTAACCACTGTGGCACCACTCCATTTGTACCACCACTCCACTTGGGCCAGTGATATGGCCCGGATGTTCACGGTTTCGAATCTGGCAGTGCCGCCCAGGCTATTACTTGCGGGTGTTTTTAACCCATAAAATCCGAAGCGTAGGGCTGCTTCACAGCGGACGTTGAAGATCATCCCCGCATCGTTTTGCCGGCATCACAGAGTCCAAATTTGTCAAATTCGAAAACTTGCACCGCACATTGCTCTATTGGGATTGCACACAGTGGCGTTCATCGCCACCCCTCCCTCCCCTCCTGGCAGACGAATGCCCAATTGCAAGCCAGATTTGCGCACAAGGGCAGCTGCCACTGGGGGAGGGGTGCCCTTTTAAACGTTTGCGATGAGATGTGATGCAAATTACCCCGAGAGGCCCCGGGCGCGTAGGTGCCCGGTCAAGCGCAGCCGTTTCCGTCACGGTGGAGTGGATGTGTGCGGTGTTGGGCACCGCGACCTCCGTGCGAGACCTGCCGCCCTGACTAGAGGCTTGCTGACAGTTTTCGCCGCAGCACTAAACGTCTTCTTTGGTTCTTTCGGTAAAGTCACGTAGAATGAGAATAAAATAATAAATTGATAAAATAACACAATAATATTCTCGCACTAAACGCGTCGAAAGCACACGGCCTCCGTGGATATGCAAGCAGGATCAGCACGAGTAAGGATCAGCACGATCGACAGCATGCACGGTGTCCAGAGGACAGGCTTGGCAGCTCGCTTAAAAGCCGGGACGTCGGGGCGTGCAACGGCAAAATCGTCGCTCCAGCGCCTCGGACGGTTTCACTTTTCGCCGAGGGTCGTTTTCTCCCCGCTAACATTATTTTTGTTTGTTCACGTCGGCGCATCGACGTTTTCATTGCGAGTGAATTGACATCGTGCTAGGAAGTCACCGGAGCCGTGCACTTTTAAATCCAGATTTTAAACAAAAATTTTCTTTGGAACGGCTTTTTGTGTTAAGTTTGTTGTTCTTGGCCCCCGCACCTCTGATTATCCATGGTTGGCTACGTACGGTGCAAAAGAAGTTCAACGTACATGCATCATCATCATCAGCAGCAGCGTCCTAATAAGGATGACACCGGTTCACAATTGTCTGTCTGCATTGCTGCCATTGTCAGTCGCTCACATTTTGCCAAATGTACTTTGATGGTGATCTAAGGCAAGACCGCCTCAGTGCACTTCTTCAGGAACTGCTGATTGTTTTTGCATGATGCACTAAGGCCGAGTGCTTTTTACACGGTTGGCGACGTATGGTGCGAAAGAAGTTCCACATACATACATACATAGGTGTTTCCGTGGTGTTCAAAACATATGGGTTTCCGGCCGACACTTATCCTGTTGTGGTGGTTGGTTTTTCTCATCGGTTACAGTCCTGAGTATTAGCCGCGGCCAGCTGAAAGGGATCTCTTTTGACTTTTATATAAATCACGAAGGCCGTTGTATTTTTCTGCAAAGAGAAACAGAAAAGCACGCACGCACGCGGTCGAGCTGCTGGCTACAGGTTTGTGACGGTGTCTCTCGTCCGCTCGCCGTGAGAATGCAGTCGCGATGGCAATGCGCTCAATGTTTGTTTTGTGTTCTCCCCCCTTTCTCGTCTACAGTCCACGCCCTCGAGCGTAAGTGAACCCTCAACGGTTTTACTCGTGACGTCCCCCTTTGCACGCAAGGATTTGATCCCTAACGTCCCGACCCCTTAACCGTCGCGCCCCCCCGCCGGGCTGACCGCCGCTAATCCACTAACAGCAGTGCGACTTTGTAGCGAGCATGCGCGACGCGGCCGTGCCGTATGCGGCGGCGGTGGCTCGGCGTTTCGCCGTTCGAGCCATCGTGTACCGCGTGTGAGCCACACGTAAAACCCTGACGCCGACGAGCTGGGTGCAGTCGACTCAAATTTGAGTAAGCTTGGACGGTGTGTGTGTGTGTGTGTGCGGTTGAGGTTTTACATTTTTGGTGACCAGACAGCCGGTCCCATCACGCGCAGCAGCAGCACCCTCTATGATCGCATCGGTGTCTTAGTGTGGCTCATGGAGTGTTTCTAATTCCGCTGGATCGTAACCCGATAACAAATCCATCGAATTTGTGCTTTGTTAGAGGCCTTGTTCACAAGCCACTCTTGTTAACGAGTGACGGTCAACTCGTTTGGCACTCCTGGTGCCGTCCCGCCAAAGCGGCCGTGCGTGCGGCGCAGTGGTCCTGGGTTTGATTCCCGACTCGGGCACCTTCCTTTGTGGAGTTCGTGTGTTCCTCCCCCTGTACTGCAGAATGTGAGTGAGTGTATGAATGCGTGTGGGGAGCAGTAGCGTAGTGGTTAGCACGCTGTACTCCAAACCCGGTGACCCGAGTTCGATTCCTGCTCACGGCCCATAGGTCGACTCAGCCTGAAATGAGTACCTGGTGTGATGTGTAAATATCGCCACTAGGGAGACAAAGGCGGCTGGGTGTGGTGCTGGCCACCAACCCCCTTTTGTGCCGTTCAGGCCTTAATAGCTGCTACCTAATAGCACTTACCCCAATAGTCTGTTATGGCTATATGGAGGATCTTTGTCTTTGAATGTGAGTATGTGAGCAAGTGTGGAGTTGAATGTTCTCCCCCCTGTTCTGCATGGGTTTTCTCCCGGTTCTCCGGTTTCCTCCCGTCGTTAAAACAACCTTCGGTGTAACTGGTATTGGTCACACATCCCAATGCTCAAAACTTTCCTGCACAGGACTCAACTGGGATCACATGCAGCAGCAACTACACCCCCTCTTGCGAAAAACTTGGCAGGACCCTCTTGAAAAACGTCTTGAGGCTTCCCTGGGTAAACAAGCAAAGTAGAAAAAAGTGATAATCATTGTGATGGTGATGAATGAATAACCAATAGGCTGATGTCGATTTTAAAAAATATTGTAATTCAGTCGTCCGTCAATAAGTGTCCCTGAGGAGTGATGGAACGGTGGACCGCGTGCTACGCTGTGAACCTGGCGACCCGAGTTCGATTCCCGCCCATGGCCAAGAGCAGTGGCCAATATCTTAACCGCTCCCGGGCCTCCGTTAGGTCGACTCGGCTTAAAATGAATACACGATGTATAAACATCGCCACAAGGGAAACAGGCACGGTACCTGGCCGCATTTGTTGCCTGCTATCGTAGGTGCTGCTCGCGAACAGCATTTGCCCTCTACGGTCTGATAAAGCTATACAGGGGATATTTATTTATTTATTTAAAGCTTTCGTGACTGCAGGGATTCATATTCTTGGTTCTTTCGGTAAAGTCACCACGTAGAAGGGAAACATTATTATTTTATTGTTTCCCTTCTACGTGACTTTACCGAAAGAACCAAGAATATATACAGGGGATCTTTGTCTAAGAGCTATAACTACCGACCCTTCGCTGCATTGAGTGTGTTTATCCACTCCCCAGGTAAGGCCACGTGGTGTTGATTTTATTTGTAAAGGGGACGCATTAAGCTGACTTTTTTAAATTGCTCGTCCATGCACTGCTATTGGTTGCCACGTTCCAAGTAAGATGACAAACCACTCTGCAAACAGCATAATGTTTAATCACCGCAGCTTGGATTATAGTTGTTCGCTGCAGTTATTAATGTACAGGGATTCCTCTACTTACGGAACAAGTGAGGTTCCAGAGGTCTGTTTATAAGTTGATTTGTTCGTAAGTCCAACTTTACTCCTGTCGATTCCAAACGTGTTGTACAGCATGTACACTTAACACAGGGGATGGCTTTAAAAGTTGTATAATCTCCTATAGATGTAGATGCCACTGGTTATTCATGTTCTGTATATGTAGATGCCACTGGTTCTTCATGTTCTGCAGATGTAGATACCACCAGTTCTTCATGTTCTGTATATGTAGATGCCACTGGTTCTTCATGTTCTGTATATGTTGATGCCACTGGTTCTTCACGTTCTGCAGATGTAGATGCCACTGGTTCTTCACGTTCTGTAGATCTAGATGCCACGGGTTCTTCATGTTCTGTATATGTAGATGCCACTGGTTCTTGAAGTTCTGCAGATGTAGATGCCACCGGTTCTTCATGTTCTGTAGATATAGATGCCACTGGTTCTTCACGTTCTGTAGATGCCACTGGTTCTTCACGTTCTGTAGATGTAGATGTCACTAGTTCTTCACGTTGTGTAGATGTAGATGCCACTGGTTCTTCACCTTGTGTAGATGTAGGTGCCACTGGTTCTTCACGTTGTGTAGATGTAGATCCCACTGGTTCTTCACGTTGTGTAGATGTAGATGCCACTGATTCTTCATGTTCTGTAGATATAGATACCACTAGTTCTTCACGTTCTGTAAATATAGATGCCACTGGTTGTTCACGTTGTGTAGATGTAGGTGCCACTGGTTCTTCACGTTGTGTAAATGTAGATGCCACTGGTTCTTCACCTTGTGTAGATGTAGGTGCCACTGGTTCTTCACGTTGTGTAGATGTAGATGCCACTGGTTTTTCACGTTGTGTAGATGTAGATGCCACTGATTCTTCATGTTCTGTAGATGTAGGTGCCACTGGTTCTTCACGTTGTGTAGATGTAGGTGCCACTGGTTCTTCATGTTCTGTAGATGTAGGTGCCACTGGTTCTTCACGTTTTGTAGATGTAGATGCCACTGGTTCTTCACGTTGTGTAGATGTAGATGCCACTGGTTCTTCATGTTGTGTACATGTAGATGCCACTGGTTCTTCATGTTGTGTAGATGTAGATGCCACTGGTTCTTCATGTTGTGTAGATGTAGATGCCACTGGTTCTTCACGTTGTGTAGATGTAGGTGCCACTGGTTCTTCACGTTTTGTAGATGTAGATGCCACTAGTTCTTCACATTGTGTAGATGTAGATGCCACTGGTTCTTCATGTTGTGTCGATGTTGATGCCACTGGTTCTTCACGTTGTGTAGATGTAGGTGCCACTGGTTCTTCACGTTTTGTAGATGTAGATGCCACTGGTTCTTCACGTTTTGTAGATGTAGATGCCACTGGTTCTTCACGTTCTACAGATGTAGATGCCACCACTGCCATCTATTGCGCGACGGTTGAACTTACGACTCTCGGTACGAACAGGCTGGAACTGGACATACACGACCAGGTTTGTTCATATTTCTGAAAGTTCGTAAGTCGAATGTTCGTAAGTAGAGGAGTTCCTTTATAGACTTCACGTGAAGTTCATGCCGGTTCAACAAAGATGAACAGGTATCTTTTGAATGTCAACAGTGGTGGGTTGAGCTCACGTACTGATAAAGATCAACATTTGACCCGACGGACCTTTCACACAGCAATCGGGAAATTCACGGCATGCGAGGCACGGACCTGTTCCATCCTCGTGAGGGGTCGTCGGCAAACAGGACCGGGGTACGAGCTGCCGAGTCCACAGCAGCGTATGGGCAGGTGGGGGGGTCCAACGCACACGCACGGCCATACCACACCATCACACGCATGGACATACCACACCATCACACCCGCTGCCATACCGCACCATCACACGCGCTCCCATACCACACCATCACACACACTGCCATACCACACCATCACATGCGTTCCCCTACTACACCATCACACCCGCTCCCATACCACACCATCACACACACTGCCATACCACACCATCACATGCGCTGCCATACCACACCATCACACGCGCTCCCATACCACACCATCACACACACTGCCATACCACACCATCACACACACTGCCATACCACACCATCACATGCGCTCCCCTACTACACCATCACACCCGCTCCCATACCACACCATCACACACACTGCCATACCACACCATCACATGCGCTCCCCTACTACACCATCACACATGCTCCCATACCACACCATCACACACACTGCCATACCACACCATCACACGCGCTCCCCTACTACACCATCACACCCGCTCCCATACCACACCATCACACGCACTGCCATACCACACCATCACACGCACTGCCATACCACACCATCATACGTGCTCCCATACCACACCATCACACCCGCTCCCATACCACACCATCACACGCATGGACATACCACACCATCACACTCGCTCCCATACCACACCATCACACTCACTGCCATACCACACCATCAAACGCACTCCCATACCACACCATCACACGCGCTCCCATACCACACCATCACACACACTGCCATACCACACCATCACACGCGCTCCCATACCACACCATCACACGCGCTCCCATACCACACCATCACACGTGCTCCCATACCACACCATCACACGCGCTCCCATACCACACCATCACACGCGCTCCCATACCACACCATCACACGCATGGACATACCACACCATCACACATGCTGCCATACCACACCATCACACTCACTGCCATACCACACCATCACACGTGCTCCCATACCACACCATCACACTCGCTCCCATACCACACCATCACACGCATGGACATACCACACCATCACACATGCTGCCATACCACACCATCACACTCACTGCCATACCACACCATCACACGTGCTCCCATACCACACCATCACACTCGCTCCCATACCACACCATCACACTCACTGCCATACCACACCATCACACACGCTGCCATACCACACCATCACACACACTGCCATACCACACCATCACACGCGCTCCCATACCAC